GTCTTTTGCCATAGGGCAGGTTTTCTAATCATTTTCATGGCTCTTTCAACCCTTGCCAATTTATCAACAGCCAACATGAATTGTAGACCCCAGAATTCGACACAGGATTCTGTCCAGTGGTTGGACAAGTGTCAAATCCAGAGGTCAGATAACCTCTCTACTCCTCAAGATTGTCCTTTTCCTGCATTCACCTTTTTGGGCACAGTCACTCACTGCAGGATCAAATTCAGCTGATTATCCCTCACAATTTTTCAATCTTTTCAGCTTAGAAAAGAGGAGACTAAGGAGGGCTATAATAGAGGTCTATAAAATCATGACTGGTGTGGAAAAAGTGAATAAGGAAAAGTTATTTACTCATTCCCCACAATATAAGAACTAGGGGTCATCAAATGAAATTAATAGGCAGCAGGTTTAAAACAAACTAAATAAAGTTTTTCTTTATTTAGCACACAGTCAACCTGTGGAACTCCTTGCCAGAGGATGCCGTGAAGGCTAGAACTTTAACAGGGCTACAGCTAGATAGATTCATGGAGGTTAGGTCCATCAATGGTTATTAGCCAGGATGGGTAGGAATGGTGTCCCTAGCCTCTGTTTGTCTGGATATGGGTGACAGCAGAGGGATCACATGAGGATTACCTGTTGTGTTCCCTCTCTCTGGGGTATCTGGTATTGGTCACTGTCAGCAGACAGGATCCTGGGCTAGATGGACCACCACTCTGACCTAGTATGGCCGTTCTTATGTGATCTTTTTCAAAGTGACTGCTTTCCAGAATAGAGTCCCCCAATGTGAAAGAAGATTTTTTGTAAATGCATACATTTACATTTAGCTACATTAAAAGGATATGTGTTTGAGCCCTTTATCAAGCAATCCAGATCACGTTGCATCAGTGACCTGTCTTCATTATTCCTCCAATTTGTGTCATCTGCAAACTTTATCACTGATACAAAATACAGCTACACCAGACTAACACGGCTACATCTCTATCACTTTATCACTGATTATTTTCTTTTCTTCCACATCATTAACAAAAATGTTAAACAGCATATGGTCAATCATTGATTCCTGAGAGAGCCCATTAAAAATGCCATTTGTTGATGACTCCCCATTTATAAATTCACTTTGAGACCTATCAGTTCGTTAGCTTTTAATCTATTTAACATGTGCCATTAATGTATCTTTCTACTTCTTTACTCAAACTGCCATGCAGTGCCAAGTCAAACACCTCACAAAAGTCATGTTAGCTTGACATCTATTTTCCATAAACTTAGGCTAATTGGTATTCATTATATTACCCTTCCGTAATTCTTTATTAATTGAGTCTTGCTTGGGATGGTATTGAGACTGCCAGACCTATAGTTACTTGGGTCATCCCAGTTACTTTTTTAAAATATTGGCACAAAATCGGCTTTCTTCCAGGCTTCTGAAAAATCAACATTAACAATCAAGTGAGAACTTTGTCCAGCTCCTTTAAAACTCCTGGATGCAATTAATCTGGACCTGATGTTAACATGTGCCACTTAAGCAGTTGGTGGTTAATATCTTCCTGAGAGAGTAGTGCAGGAAGTGGGCGGGGTCCAACCAATGCTTCATTTCTTCACCACAAGCCAGAAGTCCCGAGCCTTTCCCTGCAGCTCCTAAGTGCATGTGTGATCAGGGAAGCTCCATGCACTGCCGCTGCTCCTCAGCTCCCATTGGCTGGGAACTATGACCAATGGGCGCTGCGGATGTGGTACTTGTGGACATGGGCAATATGCATTGCACAGAGCTGCCTGGTGCCTCTGCCTAGGGGCTGGACTTGCCAGCTGCTTCTGGGAGCAGGGCAGGCAGGGAGCCTGCCTTAGCTCTGCTGCACAGCTGACTAGAAGCTGCTTGAAGTGAGCACTGCCTGGCCAGAACCCACACCCCGAATCCCCTCCTGCACCCTAGCCTCAGCCCAAGCCCTCTCCTGTCCCTCTCCCTCCTGAAGCCTGCACCCCAATCCTCCCACTCTCCAACACCCAGCCCTGAGGCCCCTCCTACACTGCAAACACTCATCTCCAGTCCCCACCCAGAGCCTGCCCCAGATTAAGCCCTCACCCTCTCCCCAAACCTCTATCCTGACTTCTACACCTTGAATCCCTTATTCCTGACCTTACCCTGGAGCCTTGGGGAAGCCCCAACCTTCAGAGCCCCCACATGGGTCTGGATCCATGAGTGCCGGCTCACCCCACTGCAGGGGGAAACCACAAGCCTCTACGCTCCTATGCAGTGAAAAACCGTTTCCCACCCTGGTACTAGCAGAATTAAGGGAGTTTTAGCTTATGATCCTACTACATCATTTGTTCTTTTCTCCCAGATATATTTCTGTTCTGTATTTCTGATTTCTAAAATTTTCATTAGCGGAGACAAAGCAAAGCATTTTCTTTATTGAATATATTGATCTCACTCTAATTTGTGAGGTCCCCTGTACTAATGTACAACACAGTTGCAAACTCAATATCTGAGAGACCTGGGCCTTGCATTCACTGGACACATATCGGGATGTTTGGCATGGTCGCAGCTGTATTTAAGTTACTGCTATTACAACTCCTTTGCTGATTACAGGTAAAAACTGCTGAAATCTTAAAAACCTCACCCTCTTCAGTTTAGATAGCTCAAGGAGAACAGTGTTCTGGAGTGCTGCAGCTCCAAAAACCACAGAGTGCACCCCATTTTATATTTTGACTCCTTTAGTACATAGGGATGTAAGCAAGTTACTCAAGTCAACTACTCACGTTCCTTCCCCCCCACCCCCCGTTGCTGCCTCTGTATTAGAGGCAGCAAAGTGGGGGAGGAGGGAGAAGGAGCAGTGCTGGGGGGAGCTGGCTGAAAAGTTGGTTCTCCCCAGCACTGTCTCCGCGGCGCTGCCTCTATCAAAGGCAGCAGGGAGGGGGCGGGGGAGTAGAAGAGGCTGCCATGAAGCAGCCCCTGCCTGTTGCAGGCCCAGGCTCGCCGTGGGCAGAAGCTGCTCCAGCAGAAGCCCCTGACGGTGGGGATCCCAGCTCCCCGCTGGGACTCCCCACAGACAGGGGCTCCTGGACCTGGTGTAAGCCACGACTGAGCAAGCCCACCTCAGTCCTGGCTCATGTCAGATCAGGGACCCTCCCCCGCTATGGCTCTGCAGCCCACATATAGCAAGGCTGCCTGCTTGCCCAGGTCTTATTACACTTAAACCGCAGAGCCACAGCAGGGGCAGCTCCTGGACCCAACGCAAGCCCAGAACTGAATGCTTTCCCTTATTGACTAATTGTGTAGCTGATAGAATTTTTATCAGCTACACGATTAGTGAAATACCTGATTCTTAACAACCCT